TAAGCCCCCACCAACAGTTGGGTATGGCCTTAATCACTATTAATATTCTTAATTTTCAAAAACATCAGTTGAAATCCTGGTTTCAGAAGCATTGGGGATGACAGGAGCAGAGACCCCAGAAGCATTGGGGATGACAGGTGCAGAGACCTGAGGTATGGGTAAGGTGGAAGGACCCCATTATGGGGCAATGGAGAGACCCAAATCCATTGCTAACCATGGGTCGAGGCTTTGGCTGTGTCTACCCTACAGGAGATTCAAACCCCATATGGGTGCCTGTGAAAATCCTTAAGTGGATAGGCCAGGATCTGACTGACCAGCATGATGGTCCATGGACAGTAGTTCATGAGACAAAATTCCTCTATTTATATCCATCTGAGGTAAAGGACCCAGTTCCTTGGCTTCATTGCCAGTCAGCCTCTTTGACAACTGACTGATTGGCTAAAAGGTACATGGTCTCAGAAGTATTTCAACTTGTCCTACGCCATGACTTGCTTTGTTTCTCTTGATAATGCTTATCTTTAAGTGTCTTTACCAGATAATTCGGTGACAGAGGACCCTTGGAACTGCCATGGCCAACCTCCTCATGATTACGGACTCCCCCAGGAATATACCCCCTCCGGTTGCCCATGCTTGGCTAACCAAGTTAGGCAGAGACTAAGACCATCACAGGCCGGCATTACCCACATGGCTGCCCTTAATCATGACACATTTTTAGCCAAGGACGGGTAAGATGTCCCATGACAAGCACTCCTAAGACAGGACATGCACATGGCCAGGTGTATGGTCCAATGATGGGCAAGGCTTGGGTCAGAGGTGACACAACCTAAGACAGGCAAAAATGCATAAGATTAGAGGAAGGAGATAGCCATCTCTCCTCAGGGTGCCGTCTATGAAATGGGTAACCCATGAAATAAAGTCAGTCTGGCCTTATAAAATAAAAATAAAAGGGGGAGATGTGGGGACCTAAAAGCCCGGCCTTGCAGAGGTTCGAGAGGAAGTTACTGGGGCACGGCCTGACTTGTTTTAAAAGTCTAAAGGATACTTCTGCACTGCTTAGCAGTGCGTGGTCAGCGTGTGATCATTCTTAAGATACACCCTCAGTGGGGAGGGGGATTTCCAGATGCCTTTATAAGCTCTGTAACACCTGCAATAAATGAGTCCCTGCTTGACTAGACTCCCCATTGCGTCTGATTGTTCCCAGTGCTGGGGGCAGCAAGGGCTGGCAAATGGTACACTTACTCATCCCCAGTCATCCTCGCATGGGGGTCACAGGCTCAAACCCCCCGCACAGTTCAAGCTCCATCACATGGACAGGAACACAGAAGTGGATTGACAAAATGGTCAGATTTGGCAGTTACCACTGGTATATTCTGTAGCCCTGGGACCAGCTGAGAATGCTTGTGGTGCTTAGGACTAGTGTGCTCATGGGGTTCACGGAGACACCGGAGAAGGGCATGATGTCTTTATACTTACAGAATCATCCTGGGGGCCCTCAGCACTTGTTCCTGCTGTCTCCCCACATTCAGTTGAAGCCTCCTCACGTCGGTACAGAACTTAATCCAGAAAGTGACCATCAGGAGTTCCACGTCTGTCTGGACCACTAAATACTTCACATTTGTCTGGACCAAGGGATGTTCAATAGCCATCACATCATACATCCTTATTTTTGAGGTATTAAGCATCTCCTGCAGGAGCTCTGTATCCTGAATCTCGTACAGACAGTGGAATATCCCTCGAGAATACTGTTGTTGGCGTTGGGCCTCTGCAAAGACCTTCCACAGTAGCTCCCTCTTTTCCCAAGGCATCCTGCGATCTCGTACAGACAGTGGAATATCCCTCGAGAATACTGTTGTTGGCGTTGCGCCTCTGCAAAGACCTTCCACAGTAGCTCCCTCTTTTCCCAAGGCATCCTGCAGGGGAAAAACTCTATCTTTTTCACCCTCTGTTTATTCAAAAGGCCAAATAAGAAGTGCATGGTTGGTGTCTCAAACAAGTCAGGCCTTCCAAACACTTCTATCCATCCTTGCTCAATTCTGTAGTTTTCAAAATCACTCCTCACCTTATTTCCCAAGACAAAGGACATTGCTGCAAAGAACTCTTGGAGACACAGATGAGCAAAGCTGTAGCTACAAGGACTGGGATGCTTTTGAAGGAAACCCATCTTCATGAAAGTGGTGACGACAGCCTCATCTAACCCCTGCTTCCAGAGATCTCTTTCACTGAACAGACTCCTCCTTCCCCAAATCCCCTCAGCAGCTAATGAGCAGAGGCCCCTGAGCTTGGTTCCCAGGAGCTGAGTTGGGAGACTCTTGGAAAGGTAGTGCAGACAGAGGTCTGTGGTGGTTTTAGAGGTCAGTGAGAGGTCTCCCCTCTTCTCCATCTGCTGTTTCAGGAAAGTGCAGGTCAGCCAGCACACCCAGGGCACCAGGCACAGGGTCATGAGTGTGGGATTTGATTTAACCAAATGTAAGGCTCTAACTGCTTGACTTTCCTCTGTGAAATAATTGTAGAAATATTCTTTCCGACCAGACTCAGAGAATCCCAAGACTTCTACCCAACAGGGCTGCCCCAAAGAAGGAATGAGCTTCTGGAGAGCTGTGGTCCGAGCTGTGAGCAGCAACGAAGCCTCAGGAAGGATGGATTTCCCCAGTAAACTGCCCAGCAATGTGTGAACCGGCTGTGGCTGCCTCCAGTGCAGACAGAGCTCAGGATTCTGCTCCTTCAAGACCCATGCTGGCTCGTCCACACCATCCAGGATGAAGAGCACCTGCTTGGACTGAGACAGGAGCTGCCCCATGGGAACCACAGGGGCAGGCTGATCTTTTGCAATGAGCTCAGCCAGACTCAACATCTTGCACTTGGCCAGTTCTCTGCAGCTGAAGTAGAAGACGTGCTGGAAGCGATCCCTGTAGAGTTGGCCTTCCTCCCAGGCTCTCCTCACCTGCCTGGCCAGCATTGACTTCCCAATTCCAGCAGCTCCCTCCACTATGACTATTTGAGCTTCTTTCTGGCTACCTGGACTTGTGCCAAATATGTCTTGAATCCTAATCAAGTTTCCTCTCTCTTCTGCTGTGTCCTGAGGCCAGATTTCCATGACCAGGGGCTCCTGACCTCTTGGGTGAGATTTTTGTAGAAGTAGCAGTTCTGTGAATTTTTGGAGCAAATCTTCATTTTTCTGGAACTCTGTGGGGCAAAGATCCTTTCTTTCTTGGTTCTGGCATCTTTCTGATATGATTTTTAATAATAAAGGAACAATAGAACATAAGTATGCACAGTAAAATTTTGCATCTACCTATTCATCCAAAAACTGAATAAATTTAGGCACCTAAATATAAGCAACACGATACACTGGCTATACTCAATGCTATACTCAGTGCAATAGAAAGAACATGATCATTGAAGTAGAAGTTTCTAGTTCAATTCTCGATCAAGTAGCATACTTTGCATTACTTTCATGCTTCAGATATTTTTCAAGGTCTTGTTCTGTGTCAGACAGTGCCCTAGGAGCTGGGCATAAAGAATAAGTGGAGAGATAAAATTCTGTCCTCATTTGGTCTTTGTTATGGGCCACTAGGTCCACTGAGCCTCATATTTCCCACCTGTAATTTGGGAACTGTGCTCTCTCCTTTTAGGAGGTCATAGGACAGTGGAGGAGACTGGGGATAGAGGAGCCTATGTTTGGATGTTTGCTCCTGACTGATTCCCCCACTGGCCTCTACCATTGCAGAACCTGCAACAGTATTTCTCATGTCCTGTGATAGTAGGTATGTGATAGTAGAGGATGTGATTGTGGTTCTGAGGGTGCACTTGTGGCCAGGAATGTTGTACAGTTAATGTTCCAGGACACAGACATGATTACTTGCCCCCAGGACTAGCAACCTGAGGTATGTTTCATATTGCCTCCCAGATACCTTTAACAGTTTAAAAACTTGGTTGTGGCTGTTTTGTATGTCTTCTGACCCATCAAATCTCATGTTGAAACTTAGTTGCCAATGAAACCGTATTGTGACACAGGTCTAGTGGGAAATGTTTTGTGGCACAGGGATAGGCACCTCAATAATTAATGCCTTTCTTGTGGAATGAATAAGCTAGTTTGAGAAGGGACCCCGCCCCGTCCTCTTCTGCAGGTACCTGCTTGCCTCTCTAACTTTTTTCTCATGAACAGAACAGCATGAAAGTCTCACTAGAACTTGAGTAGTTGTAGTCAGCTAGTCTTAGACTTCTAGCTTTAAGAACTATGAGCTAAATATACATCTTTATAAGAAAAAATTTATTGAGCCCAGTGTCCTGTAATCTCAACACTCAAGAGATAGAGCCATGAAAGTCAGGAGTTCAAGGCCAGCCTTTGCAACATAGTGAATTTGGGGCCAGCCTGGGCTACATGAAATGATTCCTTAAAACAGACAACAGGAGTTGGGCAGTTGGTGCATGTCTTTAAGCCCAGCACTCAGGAGGCAAAACAGGCAGATCTCCATGAGAGCAAGGCCAACCTAGTCTGCATAGCAAGTTTCGCCAGTTAGGGCTACAGGGAGACCCTGTCTCAAAACCAAAAACAAAGAAACCAAAACCAAAACCAAAACCCAAACCAAAACCAAACAAACAACAGCACTAATAAAAATTATTATGTCAAGGCAACAGAAAACAAACTAAGACACTTGCTCATGGTGAACCAGTTCCACAGTGCTCCACAATGCACCTTTGCTATTCATACCCTTTCCTGCCTGACTTCCCCTCTTTCCTATCAGTGCATCCTAGAGTCGTTGCCCCAGTAAATTACATGCACAGAAATTCCAACTCAAGATTTGCTTCTGAGGGAACTCAAGGTGTGACAGACAGGAGGATGCCCTGTGAACAGGCATTCTAGTTAATTCCTGGACACTTATGTGCCATGTCCAGAGCTGTTCTTCCTTGGCCGGTGTGCTGGAGGAGATCTGGGAAGAGTGAGGAGTGTGGGATCAATTTATATTATTAGCCCTTGAGAGACTGGCTTCGGGGAGGGCCACACTGCTTCTGAAATCGTAACCCATAGTTCTACCTTCATTATTTCCTGTGAGAATTCTTCTGAATTGCTTTGGAGTCCAGCAGGCTGGTCACCTGTGACTGTGTCTAGGGCCTTCCCTCCTCAGACCATGTCTGCCTGAGGTGCCAAGAAAGGACTCAGCTCTTTCCAGGCCATGTCCTCTAAAACCTTCCAGTTTGCATGGACAGAGTCTGACCATGCACATATACAAATCTTTGTAAATTACATCATACTTAAAAAGGACCCGTGACTGTGGAGAGTATTCAGCAGTTAAAGCACTTGCCTTACAGGCATGAAGACTGGAGTTTGGATCCCCACGACCAATTTTTAAAAATATTTTATTTATTCTTTTTATTTTATGTTTCTGAGTGTTATGCCTGCATGTATATAAGTGCCCAGGTTGTTCAATGCCCACAGAGGTGAGAAGAGGGCTTTGGATCTCTTGGAACTGCAGTTATGGATGGGTGTTAGCTGCCATATGGGTGCTGGGAATTGAACCCGGGTCCTCTGAAAGAGCATCCAGGTTTCTTAACTGCTGAACCACCTCTCCAGCTTGAAGACCCTTTTTTTCTTTTGGGGGTGGTGAGAAAGTGTCTCCCTGTAACCCCAGCTGGCCTAGAACTTGCTATACAGACCAGGGTGGCCTCAATCTCATGGAGAGCTGCCTGCCTCCACTTCCTGAATGCTGAGATTAAAGGCATGCACCATCATATCCAGTCATGCTGGGTTTTAATAGCAACTCCCTGTAATTCCAGCCTCAGAAAGCAGAGAAAAGGGATACCCAGAGTAAGCTAGTTAGCCAAGGTAATCCTATTGATGAGCTGTGGGTTTGATTGAGAGATCCTGTCTCAATGAATAAGATGGGGAGCAATTGAGAAAGATGCCTGACATTGACCTCAGGCCTCCAGATGCACACCTGCACACACATGTACCCCTCTCCAACATGCAAACACAGATATATATGTGCATGTACACCATATGCATACACATTCAAAGAAGACAAGAGCAAAAAACAAATCCATGGCAAAACAGATGGAACCGGTAAATATTATAGTAAGTGAGGTAACCCAGGTCCAGAGAGACAAACACTGCATGATCTCTTTCATATGTGGATCTGGCTTTGAACTTTTAGATTGTGTGTTTAATTAGGAATGTCTGTGGAGGGCAGGAAGCTAGAAAGTGCCCAAGGGAGGGGGAGAGGGAAAGGCCTGAAGGGATGAACAAGAGAAGAATTCATATGATGTGAAAGTATGGGGGGAATACAGGGAGTAAGAGGTTGAAGTGGGGCCTAGAAAATGGGAGGAAAAGGAAGTAGAGTGGGTGATGGGGGGCTAAACAAACTAAGTATGTATGAAAACCCCTTATTGAAATCTACTACTTTACAAGCTAATTAAAAAGTATAATTAGAAAAAAAGAAGGTGTTTGAACACAGGTACCCTGCATTGGTGGACAATTGTTTTCTTAGAAAACATTATTAAAGACAAGTCCCAGTGCTGGCATGGGATACTTCCCTATGACTTATTGGTCAGGGAGCCCCCAGACAGCCCCAAACAACACAGGCTACTGCTACTGCTCTTGGCTGTTAAACATAACTAGATGATAAAAGCTTATTGCTGAAGATGTAATACACTTTGCTTGCTGAACATCGAGAAATCAAGCTGGGGCTGAGCTGATGTCTTCCTGCTGGCTGACTTTCACAGTGCCAGAAGGTGTACATAGGACACTGAGAGAGAAAGATCATCAGTGGTATTACCTAAGGTGAATCCTGCCTTCTGCAACACTGGCCTGCCAGGCTAGATGTGTGTACTAGTGCAAAAGTGGTATGACTTATATGGATGACCAACTACTGTCTTATTGGATTTGATGGATGCTCCATAGGAGGGAATTCATGCTGGTACTGTAACTTTGGTCAAAAAGCCATGGCTTGGGCTCTGTCCACAAACTGTCCCCCTTCTTGCCTTGGGCTTTTGCCCACTCCTGCATACCACACCAGCCTTAGCTCTGTGACCCCTTTCTGATCTTTTGTCAGAGACCTTCTCACTAGCTTTCCAGAACCCAGCCATAGAACTTCTATAGCCTTGAGTTCCCTTCACCTCTCTGGAGAGCACTTCACTAATTGGCTTGGAACAATCTGGACCCACCAATAAAAAAATCAAAAAGTGAGAACCTGAAGCACATACCAACTAGCTTTTCATACTTGAGCAAAAAGAAACCAAGCTACATCAACAATATAAACAGAACCAAACTCCAACTAAACAAATGCAGACTAGAATTCATATCAGACACATAGCCAATAAAAGACATCCATATCCCCAAATGACAATGCAAAAACACAAATAAGAAAAACTAAGAGAATATGTTTCCACGAAAACTGCCAGTCCTACAGAAGTGTACTACAATGAGAATCACCCAGAGGAACCTCAAGATGCAGAATTTAAAAGAAAAATAATAAACATGATCAAAGACCTTAAAGAACACACAGACAACTCAAAGAACTCAAAGAAGATAGGCATAAACTTGTGATAGAAACTCAAGAAAATACAAATATGTGACTGAATGAAATAACAAAAATTATTCAGGACTTGAGAGGTGAATTCACAAAAAAGATAGAAATATTGAAGGAAATCCAAGCTGAAATGAAGATGAAGTTGAAAAATTCAATAAGTCAGTTTGTAATGATAGGAGAAAGACTCACAAGCAGAATAAATGAAATGGAAAACAGAATATCAAGTCTCAATGATATAATTGAAGAATTGGACTGCTCAAACAAAGAATATGAAAAATTAAAAAAAAACAGGAATAGAATATGCAGGAAATGCGGGACACCACAAAAGAAAAAATCTATGCATCATAGGCATAGAGAAAGGAGAAGAATCTCAGGTCATTGGCATTGACCAGATCTTTGACAGGATTATAGAAGAAAACTTCCCTAAATTAAGGAAAGAAATACCTATACACACACATGAAGTACACAGAACACCAATTAGACAGGACCAGAACAGAAACTCCCCACAGCATATCATAGCAAAAAGTCTAAATGTAAAGAACAAAGAGAGGGTACTGAAAACTGCTAGAGGAAAAACAAGTTACATATAAACCAAAACCCATCAGAGTTACAGCTGACATTTCAATGCAAACTATCAAGGCCAGAAGAGCCTGACCCAAAGTATTCCCAGTTCTAAAAGACCATAGATGCCAACCTAAA